ATTTTAAGCCATGACGGTGTAGTGTGTTACTAATGGTAACCGTTGAGACTGTGGTCCCAGCTCTCTTCAGGTCATTGACCAGGTCCTCCCGTGTAGTTCTAGGCTGATCCCTCACCTTTCTCAGTATCACTGATACTCCACGAGGTGAGATCTTGCATTGAGCCCCAGTCCGAGGGTGCCTGACAGTCATCTTGAATTTCTTCCATTTTCTAATAATTGCAGACCTGGTCAAGAACTACAGGAAACGTCTGACCTCTGTAATTGTAAACAAAGGTTTCAGTACCAAATATTAAGTTCTATTTTTCTATTGTATCAAATACTTATTTCATGCAATAAAATGGAAATAAATTATTTAAAAATCTAAATATGATTTTCTGGAATTTTTTTTTGTAGATTCTGTCTCTCACAGTTGAGGTGTACCTACGATGAAAATTACAGATCCGTCCATTCTCTGTAAGTGGGAAAAATCAGCAGTGAATCAAATACTTATTTGCCCCATTGTATGCAATTCAATACAACACTTCCGCCTTAGCATCTGTTTATGAAGCTTCAAATGTTTACATTTTTGGTGAAGTTGTCAAAACTGTATAAATTCAAATATATGTTTATTACTGAAGTTATAGTTAAAGAGCCCATGGCAAGCTTTTCCTTGTTTTCTGACATCTCTACAATGGTGAGTTATCATCTTAAACATAACCTGAAGCTTAAAAAAATGAGGTGTTTGTATGTTCTAGTATTTCTATGGAGAAGCAACTCTGTTTATACAAGTCTCGCAAACTCTTGCTTGCGAGACTTTTTTCCAACAATGTAAAGTTTTTGTTATGGTCGAGCATGTACAGGAGTACGAAATATGCAGACGCAAAACACAGGAATGGAACCAAAGAGAGTTTATTGAATAAACAAGGAATGTGTTGCTGGGTAGAGGAGAGAGGGGAACAGAGATAGAGAAGGAACTGGGCAGGACTGAGGTAGAGCAGGTTCTAGACTGGACAGGCAGGCTCCATTGGACCAACAAGAGGTGAGTTAGCCAGGCAGCATGAAGCGGGAGACGAGGCTGGTAGACAGTGTTGTACTGGGGATGAAGCAGGCAGCGTGATGCTGGGAACAAAGCAGGTAGGTAGCGTGGTGCTGGGGACGAAGCAGGCAGGCAGTGTGATGTGGGGAAGGGTGAGTGGAGAACCTGGGAGTGCAGACCTGAAGAGCACAGATCTGGGGAACACAAGAGAGCTGGAGAGTGCAAAGCAGGGAATGGAGAACTGAAGAGTGCTGATCTGAGGACGATGAACTAGAGAGTGCCGAGTCGAAGTGGTGTGCTGGAGAATGCAAAAACGGGAACGGAGAACTGAAACTGGGGAGCGAAGAACACAGGATCGAGGAACAGAGAGCTGGAACGTCAGTTTAACTGATCAGATAGCAAGTGAGTGCAGGCAGTCAGGATCAGAGTGGACAAGATGAGCAGGTTAATAGGGTAGTGGCCAGGAACAAAGATGTAGCAGTTAACAGTGAACCAGAGGGGAGCAAACAGAAAAGGGGTGTATATATGGGGAGCTGAACCAGGAGATAATGAGCAAAAGATGGAGGTGATGATTATTGATTGTGCTGGCTGAGGATGTGACAGGCAGGGAAAGACAGGGAATCCAGGGAGAAAACAACTAAAAAACAGTAAGCAAAGGTCCAAACCTTGACAGTCTTACATGATTTTCTTGAATGGTCATAATCTCCAGGCAGTTGTGCATTCATGTGAGCTTGCCCGACATCCATCAGTGCCATTCTAAAAGTGGAATTTTTCTACTGCACATGATTTTTTGGATATATTTTACCTCCTGCTGCCTGCACTGTGTCTAGAGGATGTGGAGAAAAATGCAAGGCTTGAGATTACTGCATGTCCGGGAATGTTCATGTACAGGAGACTCACTGTTTTACCTGACCAGGTCTAACCTACATGCAGCCGGCCAGTGAAACATCCTGGTTGGGTGAATGATCAACTCTGGATTCCTCTGAAGCCCAGTACCTGTTTGTTTTGATTACCTGAGGCCAGTGTGTCTGCCACATATGATGTGTTGCGGGTTGGCATGGATTCTAATGATCCATAATGTTATTGTTGGTGCAAAGCAGGGAATGTATGTGGTCCACTATAATGCAAGGGGATTGTGGGGGAAGATGCAGCGATCACCAGTTGGATTTACCAACCTTGGAGCTACTTGAAAGGGAGTGATATTTCCGCTACACGGTGGGACTTAATGGTAAGTTTGAAAAAAACAAACGTTGTATGTCTTTTAATGCATCGTTTCCGTGGAGGGAATTGTTGAAAGGCTAGAGAAGTTACTATGTACAGTATGTATTATGCCAGTTAAAATATTGGGTTTCTCAATTACCTTTATTTAGAGTGTTACAGATCTCTATGTATCAGTACATATACAGTTGTTTATCTATCTATGGAGGAGAAATTCAAATTAATTAGTGCTGTTGCAGTTTGTTGTGCTGCCCACTTCCATATTCTGGCTTGAACATGTCAGGTAGGATTTGAGGTATCTTTATTGTTGAAAATGTAAAAATGTAGCTGTATTTGTGAGTGTTTTTTGTTTATGTGTTGTCCTGGCTTCCTGACTGGTCTTATGTCAAAAATTGCTCCCCCATGAAGATGTGTCCCCCCTGTTCAAAACTTGGTTTCATGTAGTGCCCTCCCTCAGTGGTTGTGGTTAGGATAATGTTAGGATTCACGTTAGGGGAAACACATCTCGATGAGGAAACAACACCAGCAGCAGGAGTTGTGTGCATTCACAAACTATCCTCTCATTTTCAGGAAGAAGCTCTCGTGTTTTATCATGCTGAAATAATTACAGGTTGTTTGGAGTTATGATGGTGCAAAGCCAATCTAGAGGTTCTCAACATTAATCATTAAATGGCTGGAAATGAGCATTACATAAGCACTTTAAAAGTGGTGTTGTAATAGACTACATTATATTCAGAGGTGTTCCAAATATTCTGACCCTCTCATGTATGTAGCTGAGAAGGTTTTTTTTTATGTCCCAAGTAAATAAACTCAACTGAGTGGCATTTTTTGCTTGCATTTGAGTTTTTTTTTTATTATGTTTAGTTTTGCATCACATGCACATTGTCAGTTTGATCATTTTTACAAGGCAGTTTATCCTACTTTTTCTATGTAACTTTAACTCCCTACATTGGTTACCTGTTCATTTTCGGGTCCATTACAAAATTTTACTCTTTGTTTTTAAATCCCTTCATGGCTCTGCACCATCCTACTTATCTGATTTGCTTCATTGGCATACACCCACACGCTCTCTGAGGTCAGCCAATCAGCTTCTTTTGGGCGTGCCTAGAACAAAGCGTAAGCTTAGAGGTGACCAGGCCTTTGCAGTCGCTGGGCTGGTCCCAAACTCTGGAATGACTTACCGCTGTCCATTAGACAAGCCTCTACCCTGTCTGTTTTTAAGTCTCTTTTAAAAACTCATTTATTTTCCCTTGCATTTTGATATTTTATTTTTGTCTTGATTTAGTCATTTATTATAT